TTCAGCAGCCGCGTCGCTTGGGGATGGAGCAACAGGAGCCCGTACAGGCGACGATGGAGCCACAGGATCCCGTACAGGTGACGGCGGAGTCACAGCAACAGCAGAAGCATCGACCATGGCAGCCGAAACAGAAGGACTGCAGCAGGAGCAGGCGGCGTCGACGAACGAGCGCGAGAACGAGCACGAGAACGGGAACCGAAGTCGCTGTCGGGGCCCCAGTCGAGGAAGCTCGCAAGGAGCTCCTCGTCCGACGTGTGGGGATCGGACGAAGCGGGCGAAGCCATGCCGGCCGGTGGTGCCAACAAAGAGTCGTTTGGAAGTACCACAGGCTGTACGGTCGGCGAGCGAGGCGAGGGAGCGGCGGAAGCCGGGCTAGCAGCAGCAGCAGACGCAGGAGGCACGGCCATCCTCCCGGACGGACCTACCCAAGCGACAAAGTAAACAAGCCCGCACAAGGCAGGCGTGGGTAACTCGTGGTCGGACTAATCCGACGGGGAAAGGCACCTCTGGCCTACAGCGCAATTTTGGGAATGGCAGGACTGAGGGGACGCGCACGCCAGAGGGAGGGTGAGTGTATCAGATATGATAGGTGTAGAGTTGTAGCCAATCAGAGGTAGGCTCAGTTTAACTTAGATTCAGTATGGAATACAGAAAGGCAGATGTAGGGCGGCCGTGGAACCTTCTAGAAGGTTCCATCCGTCTGAACTGCGGGGGCGGCACTCCCCCAAGCTACCGTTTCCTGAAATAACAAACGTAGATGATCGTCAAAAGTCTATGCGATTTAAAGATACGTCTGTGACTCCACAGCCATGATATATTATATCCACTGACGAGTATTTGTCGACCGGACTTAAAACACTGATCGTTGATCACTGTCGTCTTTGCCTCTCTGATACTGGAGTGGACGGTGCCTCTTGCTTCATATAAACGCAACAACCAATTCTCCTTGGAACTCACAGCCAACACAACCAACGCAGAGCCGATCTAAGTTCTGTAATTGCACGCCCTTATTACAATAATGCATCGTCCGCTTCCCACAACGAACTTTTACTGCATCTCCATCACAAATAAGCCTAGCAACACCGCCAACAACATGTCTACTGTCATGCGGACTCAACCCGTTTACACAACGATCGTGCATTCATTCAGCGAGCACATGGAGAGCACAACCCAAAAAGGAG